GCGAGAACGCACGAACAGATTTTTTGCAATTTGGCCTATAAATGGGCAATTCGAGACGCTACATTTTTGGTAGAGTGACTTTTTGCGAAAAAATGCCTAGTTTTGGAAAATTTTCAAAATTGCTCGTTCAGAGTCAATTTTTTCCATTTTTCAGCGAGAACGCACGGACAGATTGTTTTGCCATTTGGCCTATAAATGAGCAATTCGAGACGCTACATTTTTGGTGGAGTGACTTTTTGCGAAAAAATGCGTAGTTTTTGGAAAATTTTCAAAATTGCTCTTTCAGTCAATTTTTTCCATTTTTCAGCGAGAACGCACGGACAGATTGTTTTGCCATTTGGCCTATAAATGGGCAAGTCGAGACGCTACAGTTTTGGTAGTGACGTTTTTCGAAAAAATGAGCAGTTTTTGGAAAACTTTCAACATTTCTCTCTCAGAGTCAGTTTTTCGGTTTTTTTACTCCGGAATAATGGCGGGATTTTTTTAAAGTTTGTCCCATCAATGAGAAATCTGGGAAGCCGCATTTTTCGAAGATCGGGATTTTTCGAAAAATTGTGCTGTTTTTGGAAAATTTTCAAAATTGCTCTTTTGGAGTCAGTTTTTTGCATTTGTCAGCGAGAACGCACGCACAGATTTTTTGGAAATTTGGTTCATAAATGGAAAAGTCGAGACGCGACAGTTTTGGTAGTAAAGTTTTTTGAAAAAATGAGCAGTTTTTGGACATTTTTCAAAATTCTTGTTTCAGTCGATTTTTTGCTTTTTTGACGCTGAAACAGCGTGATTTTTTTGAAGTTTGTCATACAATTGAAAAATCTGTAAAGCCACATTTTTGGAAGAATGAGGTTTTTCGAAAATTTCGCAGTTTTTAGGACACTTTCAAAATTGCTCTTTCAGTGTCAATTTTTAGCTTTACTTTACTGAAATTTGGCCCGTTGATGGAAAACTCGAGTCGCTACGTTTTTGGCAGAATGTGTTTTTTCGAAAAAATGCGCAGTTTTTCACAAGTGCTCTTTCAGTCAGTTTTTTGCTTTGTTTCCGTCGCAACAAGAGCGCGATTTTTTGCATTTTTGCGAAAAATTGCGTAGCTTTTGAGAAAAAAAG